TTCTTAAAATAATTTCATTTGTTTTTGGATTAAGGGGGTAAAAGAGACATTTTGCCAATGGAACAAGTCAATTTGCATTAAAAATAAGAAAACACAATTGCATTGTCTTATTTCAAGTGCATATTATCTAATTATCTTATTCTAAGAGTAAAAATACTCATCTATTGGCAATCTATCTCATTTACCTAATCAAATTAAGGGTAAATACACTTAATATATTTGTTTAGTTAATTCTAGGTTGTTTTTCCAGTGCAGGGTATTAAATAGTATTGTACATTGTACGTTGCACGAGTTATCTTTATACTTTGGAATCTACATCATGTAGATTGGAAATCATGTTTTTCACTTTATTCTTTTTTTTTCATTCAGTGACGTAATAGTTTCCTGTGTTTTTTATCTCCCAGGTTAAATAATATAATTAGCACTTTATATTATGGAAAAATCCTCATGATAGAAAAGAAAATGCACATTTTAAAGAAAATTCTTGCTCGTCCGGTAATTTTTAGTCAAATGATAAGATTAATCAAATTAAAATAAACCTATTAATTGATAACTTGCATCCCTAACACGATCTTAGACATGTATTTATAGACTTCCTAATCGACCTGCATATTAAGCCCACAGCTTAATATGCAGTGTTTAAATCATGCACAATATAGTTTGCTAATTACTTATCGCTAAAATATCAATTACTAGTGGAAAACTCATTTATGATGCAACTTGATGCATTTTTTTGGATTTTTGGTTTTGAGGACTCAGGATGCCCGTATCAAAAAGTCTCCTTTATTTTGACACGTGAAGCACCAAAAATTGTTTGAAATATGAGCAACAAACGGAACTGAGTGAGATTTGAGTCCAAAAGAACGGGATGATTTGTGTTTTGGACATTCAACACCCCTCACAGACACCCGCAGCCTGCAGCCCATCCATCTGCTGCCTTTTCTGCAGAAAAAAAAAAAAAAAAAAGGCTTCAGGAGGTGGAGAGGGAGGCTTTTATGTTGAAAAGACACTTGAGAAGCAGCATGTGGCTACAGCAGCAGAGGTCTTATTGCTTGGGGTTGAGGCAGAGGGCAGCTGAGGTTCTGCAGGGTTCAGAGAGAGCAACTTATCATTCAAGGTGGCTTGGAGATCTGCTGCTGCAAACACTCCTTAGCCCAGATGCTGTTCACTCTCTAAACAATCAGATTAGAAGAACAATGAAGACATGTTTTCCTTTAAACCAGGTTGCAGATTTTGCAGCCTAACTTTAGCAGAGCTTAATTCAGCGTGGTGATGTAACCCTAAGTGGATGCTGCTGCACCCTGCTGCGTACTGACTTCATGTGTTTCTGCTGGCTGATGGGAGACTGTTGTTGCTCGCCAGGATTAGGATCTGAATGCATGAATGGCTCCTGGCTTGTGCCTGGCACAAGGCCTCCTTCTCCTCCTCCTCTCGAACCCTTTTCTTTGCATCATTAAATTGGAGGGCAGATGTAGTGAGAGTTGTTCTCTATTGAGATTTAAAGTGCTTGTTTCATTTCAACCACCCTTTTTTGTTATTTTTCTTTAGAACAAAGAGCAAATTGCATGTTTGCATTTTTTCTCCTGCGTAAAATGTTAGATTTAAACTGGCTGGAAGGGTTTAGAAGTTGAATCTGTGGGTGTCCCTGTGGGGCGTGGAGGGAGGCTGCAGCAGCTGTTGAAGGCTCAATAGTTATTAGTGACAGCCAACATGCAGGTCAGAGTGACTCTTAAGTTTCAATCCGAGCACACAAAGGCCTCCTAAAGCTTCTGAAACTCAAACTGGACAGAAAAGAAAGAAACCAGCGTGTGGCAGGAGCTAAAGATCATCTCCATTAAGCTGCAGCCTCACTTGAACATGTGCTGCTGTTACCTTTAACATTAAAAAGCTCAACACCTTACATGTCATTTATCTTTTATAGTTGTGGGGCTGTATAACTTATGGCATTAAATAATTGGGGAAAATATTCCGATTAATTGTCTAATTTAATTAAACTATTCATTATTTTATTTAACATGTATTTTAATGATTATATGTGATCAGATCTAAAACAAACAAATGAGAGAAAACTATGATGCTTATGAGGAACAATGTGGGACAGATGACACTTTTTTAAACAATGTGGTTTTTTTGTGACTCTCACAAAAAGCTTTCTGAGAATCACTTTTCACTTCCTCACCCAGTAATAAACTGTTGTTAGCCACACATATTCTGTGTTAATAAAATACTTACACTACCCTCCAATGAAAGAATATTTGCTCTTTTTCCAGGGGTTCATGTTTTCACTGTGTTTGTTTTCCCATCTATTCATTCTTTACAATCAGGAAGTCCACAAACTGTATTTAAAATGCTGCAGCCAGAGTTTTGATGAAAATTAAAAAGAGATCATATTTCCTTCATCTTAGCTTCTCCTTATTGACTTCCTGTTAGATCCAGGATATAATTTTAAATTCTTGTTCTCAAATTTAAATCCCTAAATAACCAAGCCCCATCCTATATCATATATCTGATTGTTCCTTATGTTCCTAACAGAGCACTTCGCTCTCAATCAGTATAATTATTAGACAGCATGGGATTAATTTTCACTGTTATACTGATGATACTCAGCTATATCTGTCTATAATCCAGATGAAGCTAACCTATTACATAGATTACAGGCATGTCTCAAGACATAAACACCTGGATGACTCTAAACTTTCTCCTTCTGAATGCAGACAAAACAGAAGTTATAGTCTTTGAAAAATAAGCTGATTAGTCAGTGGCTTCATTTCGATGGGATTAAACTGGCACAAATATAAAATAAAAAAATCTTGGTGTTGTTTTTGATCAGGACCTGACATTTAAATCCCATATCAAAGGATTTCCTTCTTTTATCTGCGGAATATTGCAAAAATTAGAAATATCCTGTCCAGAGGTGATGCTGAGAAACTAGTCCATGCATTTGTTACTTCAAGGCTGGACTATTGTAATTCTTTACTATCAGGAAGTCCACAAACTGTAGTTAAAAGCCTTCAGCTGATCCAAAATGCTGCAGCCAGAGTTCTGATGAAAATGAAAAAGAGAGATCATATCTCTCCTATCCTGGCTTCTCTTCATTGGCTTCCTGTTAAATCCAGAATAGAATTTAAAATCCTCCTTCTCACATATAAAGCCTTAAATGGCCAAGCTCCATCTGATATCAGAGATCTGATTGTTCCTTATGTTCCTAACAGAGCACTTCGCTCTCAATCTGCAGGTTTACTAGTGGTTCCTAGAATTTCTAAAAGTAGAATGGGAGGCAGATCTTTTAGTTATCAGGCTCCTCTCCTGTGGAACCAACTAGCAGTTTTAGTCCGTGAGGCAGACACCCTGTCTACTTTTAAGGCTAGGCTTAAAACTTTCCTTTTTGATAAATCTTATAGTTAAAAAACTTGAATGTTTTCTTAGTCACTAGATAATTAGAGCGTTATCAGTCCAGACAGATGTTTCTCCTGTGTGTCAGTTATCCTGAACTATTTTCTGTAATTGTGCTGCTATAGCTTTGTGATGCTGGATCACAAAGGGACCTCTTTTCTCCATTCTTTTTAATTCTCTCTCCGTTCTCCCATTTTGCAGCATTTGTCAAGTTCCACTCATTACTTTGTTCTCTCTGCGTTTTCTAATCATAGTAGCTTCATCTGGTCTGTTCCTGTTCTGCTGTGACTCCATCCTGAGGGGAAATATCAGCTGTGCTGCTGCCTTCAACATACCTGTTAAAGCAAAAGGGCTTAAATATTAAAAAAGAAAATGTGATAAGCAATACTTGAAGCAAATGATTTATTTAATCACAGAAAACATCCACTAACAAAAAAATAATTAACAATATCTAACAAATTAATTAACAAATCTAAATAAAATGTCAAAGGTTTTTACATACATTTTGCAATTAAAAGCAGAAATAAGCTAAATATCCTGTTGCATTTTGTCTTTTACATATTATACAGCAATGAAGTTACATTTTTTTTTTTCATTTTGACATGACATGTGAAACTAATTTATATCTTGGATAATTTTTGTCACTGTTCAATTCATGAAGTCAAACTTAAGACAATTTAAAATGGTCTCACATATAATAAAGTAAATATTAGGTAATCTTGTCTAAATCTAAATTATTTAATCGTATAAACTGATATATGGTGTTAAAATCAGAACCATTTTTTTAGGTCCAGAATTTTTAATATTCAAGGTTTTTTTTTCATATTTTTTTTATAAATAATTTAATGAAGTCGTTTTCGTTTTGAAACCTTTAGATAAAAGACTTTTTTTAAAACATTAAAGAGTAATTTTTGTCATTGTTAAATTTCTTTATTTAGATATAAAAATAGTTTAAAAAGAAAAATAAACATTTTAAAAGTGAAACTAAGTCAAAAGAGCTTGTGATGAAAACTCACTCAGTAAAGGTTATTAATCACATTATTAAAGAAAGTTTATTTTTTTTAAGATATGAAATTAAGCTCAACTGTTATCAATAATGTTACAATTAAAATCTGAATTAGTAAAAATGTTATTGTTTTTTTTTTTCTTCTATCTTGGTCCAGATTTTTTTTTTTCATATAATTTTATCAATAATTTAATGAAGTCGTTTTCTAAAGTGAAACCTTTAGATAAAAGACTTTAAAAAAAGAAAATATTAAAGAGTAATTTTTGTCATCGTTAAATTTTTCATTTAAAGTTTACAGAACTTTTAATTCTAACAATCATTGAACACATCAGGACATTTTTTACAGGATGTTTGAGCAGAATCCTCCAATAATCTATGGAGTTAGTCATTTCCCTAAAGTGAAACAGCTTATCTGCAGAGAACATATTTAGATATAAAAATAGTTTAAAAAGAAAAATAAACATTTTAAAAGTGAAATCTAAGTCAAAAGAGCTGGTGATGAAAACTCACTCAGTAATTTTTTTTTAGATATAAAATTAAGCTCAACTGTTATCAATAATTTTACAATTAAAATCTGAATTAGTAAAAAAAAAAAAATTTCTTTTTTTTTTCTTCTATCTTCATCCAGAATTTTTTTTTCATATAATTTTATCAATAATTTAATGAAGTCGTTTTCTAAAGTGAAACCTTTAGATAAAAGACTTTAACAAAAGAAAATATTAAAGAGTAATTTTTGTCATTGTTAAATTTCTAAAGTGAAACCTTTAGAGAATTAAGACAATTCTGGAAAGTGGGAAACATTTCCGCTGACTGCAACTGCTGTCATGTTGCTCAGCTGAAGAGGAACATCTGTGAAAAGTCTCTTTCCAAGATGGCCTCTCCTTCCTCAGCACCGCTTCTTCTCCTGCTGCGCGTGCTTCTACGTGGCGACATTTGCTCTGTGGGACCACAGGATGCAGAACTCGCTTCTCCTTCCTCTCCAAACCTCATCCGCACAAAGAATGAGGGTCGACGTTGTGTCGCCCCCTGCCGCACGCCCGACCTCGTTCACAGAAAGAATGAGAGTCATCTTGGCGTGGACCGGTGCAGGGGGCCGACGGTGACGCGGCGCGGTGGCCCCCCTCGGTTCGGGGGGCCGGCGCCGTGCAGCCTGGATGGGGAATCCTCCTCAGGAGCATCCAGGGATGAGCCAGAAACAAGATCATCCTGGTCATCAGGATGAGTATTTCCAGGTAGGAATCGAGCAGGTGAGGAGCAGAGTCCGGCTCAGCGCTCTGGGAGGCTGATCTCAGGGACCCAGTCGTTCAGGCGCCGGCTCTCCTCACAGAACAGGTGCAGCTTCTCCAGAGTGGGGTCCTCCCAAGACCCATCATCTGGGTTCTGTTCAAAGAAAAGAACAAGTTTAGAACATAGTTCTGCAATAAAATCACAACAAATGCGTTTTCAGATTCCCATTTCATCCAAAAATATATATATTTGTGAGGTGAAGCTTATTTTCTCCTTTTTATGCATGTTGGACCTTTGGGTCTCAGCCCCCCTGACCCCCTTCTTGGTGTCGCCCGTGCTCCTAGACGTACCGTAATGAGGACGCAGTGCGCGTCTTCCAGCTGCTCGGCCTTGTCTCCGACTATGTCGGCCAGACGCTGCATGTCGCTGACTCTGACGATGCTGATGTCGTTGTCGAAGCAGAAGGACTGGATGAGGGTGAAGTGGATCTGCAGAGCGATGTCCCACTCAAACTGCTCGTCCGTGGCCAGGACGCAGAAGGACACGCTGTCTGGGTCTCTATGGACACAAAATAATAATCATCTCTCTATTGGATGCTGCTGAGAAAAACTCACTCATGGGTCGCAGGAACATAAAGGGCAGTATACTCACTCTGTCATGATCTTAGCACTCTCGTAGACCCCAACGGTGAGCCGGTCCTCACTCTGAGCACAGACAAGAGCTTCTCTCAGGGACTTTCCAGGAGACTTCATGGTTTGTTTGACGCAGAAGAGCTCAGAAAGTGAAGAGGAGAAGAGTGTTTGCTTCCCCGAGTGTCATTCAGCTTTTATAAGGCAGAGACGGCATGCGCTCGTCCTCTGATTGGTTCCCTTCAGGACAAAAGCAACAACTGGCTCCGCTCCCCCCTCCGTGCCCTGAAGGCCGCGTGCCTTTAGAAAACACTGAATCGGGGGGCGGCTAAATGTAAAAACTGTGACCTTCAAGTGATTCTTACAAAACTAAAAAGGAATCTCTAAACATCTTCACAGTGTTTGAGGAAAACAAGGAAGAAGTTCTCAAGTCAGCATCCGATTAGCTGGACTTTATCAGGATGACAAACACAAAATACAGAATCCTCTTTCACAACCATCCCTGCCCTTCCCTCTAAATATGTTGAATAATCTGCTCTGCCAGAAAGAAAGCATTTGTTCTCCTTTATATGTTGTAAACATTAAAAGTAGACAGAGAGAGCGATACTCAAGGATCCCTAAAATCTCCCTCCATCATCCAGACTCTTTGGTCCTGTCAGGATGTTGGTCTTGAAACCAATAAAGACAGTAAACGTGATTTTTTTTTATTATTATACCTTTATTTTTACAGGCAAGCCCTTACGAAAAGTTCTTATTTACAATGGCGGCCTGACAAATTGAGTAACTATTTAGGAAAAGGGAACCAGGCCTAAAATAAATACAATACATACATAAAATTAAATTCAAAGGTACACTATGCAACCGGTGTTGATTTTCCAGCGAGGCTCCCCCCAGAGGGCGAAAGTAAAAGTGCACTGTCGTAAATATGCTCAGCTGTTCTCCTGGTTTCTCCGTCAAGCCAGGCGCGGTTGTTTTGAGCTTAGCAGACAGGCGAACGCAACGAATCACCATGTCTACTGCGGGGAGTGACTATTTTGTTCCAATTTTCGAGTTTGAAAATTTAGCATGTTTTTATACATTATTTTCTCGTTGGTTCCATCATGATAAATGCACAAATATCGCCACTGCGCTAGCAACGAGCATGCCTTTTACTGGGAGCATGTAGCAATTCTCGCCGTAAAGCAAGACTGACTCTCGCGAGACTTCTGAGCCTGTGGGTGCGGGCCGAGGGCTCCTGCAATTGCAAGTGCGGTATTTCCCCTACAGACCACCAGGGCGGCCGAGAAAACCTTTGTTCGACCTGAAATGACTCATTTAATCATCCAAAACGTTATGGAACACATTCATTAACTGAAAAATGTTGCATAGTATGCATGTAAAACACAACAGACAACCAAAGAATGACGTAGAAAAGCAGCTGCAAGTGTCTGTGAACAAGAATTAAATTTTTTTGAAGGATGAAATTGAAATAAGTCTAATCCAGTTTAAGAATATTTTGCAAAGCGTTCCAGTAAAAAGCGGCAGCAGGTTGAAAAGAAGTAAAACCAAAAGTAGGGTTGTTTTTGGGAATAAGTAATTGTAGATGAAGTGAGGAGCAGGTGGTGTAAGTGACTAGCCTCGTGAGACCATCCTGATCTCGCGAGCTTTCAAGGTTTCACTCGCAGATAAGTCTGGAGACTCTCCATTAAAGAAAATATGGAGCCGTTCACCAAACGAACGTCCAATCAGCGTTGGCTTTGAGGCGGGTTGAGGTGTGACGCAACGAGAAGCGCGACAGTTCAGGCTAAAGAACATGGCGGCTTCAGCCGATGAAACTAGCATTAGCGTGGCTATCGAGCAAGTTTTATCGGAATTACAGAGTATTTCTTCACTGAGAGAAGAGCAAAACACTGCTCTGGAGGCTTTTCTCAGAGGAAAAGATGTTTTTGCTCTTCTCCCGACTGGTTTCGGCAAGAGTAGCCTGACTTGTGGTTGTGTTTTTGTCGTCGCTCTGTTAGTACGTCATATGCTTCGTTGATCTGATTGGTTTATTTGGCCCGTCTATCACCAGCATAGGCCAATCAGCTAACCAGTATTTTCGCCCCTTCCCAAAATTTCTTCAACGGAAGGTTTCCAGATGGATATGCAGAGCAAATCCATCTGGCAGAGTCAGGTTAGTAAGTGACAGGCTTTGGCTGCAGCAGGTTACCTATATAAGGTGGTGAGCGACCGAGAAGGGTCTTGTAAATGAAGTACCTGGAAAGAACCATAATCCAGAAGGACTCCAGACCCGGGATTCAAACCCAGTACCATGTTGGTTTTTAGTTTTTTTTTATCTACATCCAAAATCACATGGAAAACCAGTGAATTTCAACACCTATTTCTGGTTCATCTGAGCGGAGAAAGCAAACTGATCAGGAAGGAGTTGATTGGTGACAACTGATGACTGATTGATTTGCTTACTTGAGAGACAAAGGGGAGGTAGGGTTGGATTAATTAAAACATGGTTTATGTTTAATGTGGTTTTATGCCTCTGGTACTAAAGACGCCATAACAATATGCTTTTCTATCATTTTGTTAGATAAATAAACTTATTCAATCTTATGGCTTTTTAATTCAAACTATTTGCCAATTGGTGGTTAGGAAACTAAATAATTGAGCAAGGGTTAAACTCCTGGATCAAAAATCCTATTGGTACCAATGGGGGGTACAGCAACTGATTGGAAGATAGTGCTTGTGTCAAATGAGAACAAAACAGACTTTCAAGCATGGTGGAAGTAGCATCATGCTGTGACAGTATAAAGCGAGTTCACCATCCAGCAGCTCAACGATGGGCCCATTAAAACATTTCAGTTTGGTTTCTTTTTTTAAAAATCAGTATTTGAGTCTAGTGAAATGGGAAATGTTTCAGGCTTGTTGCCGTCGTACCATCACACACGGTTTCTGAGTTCTATCGAGACGGTTTGAGAGCTTTGAGAAGCGTCCTCCAAAACGATAATACTGTCATCCTTAAGTCCTGTTTTGACTCATTTGGATGTATGCTGTAAGTGTCCACAGGAAAACCCTAGCCTCGTGAGACCATCCTGATCTCGCGAGCTTTCAAGGTTTCACTCGCAGATCAGTCTGGCTACTTTCCGTTAAAGAAAATTTGGAGCCGTTCACCAAACGAACGTCCAATCAGCGTTGGCTTTGAGGCGGGTCGAGGTGTGACGCAACGAGAAGCGCGACCGTTCAGTCTAAAGAACATGGCGGCTTCAGCCGATGAAACTAGCGTTAGCGTGGCTATCGAGCAAGTTTGATCGGAATTACAGAGTATTTCTTCACTGAAAGAAGAGCAAAACACTGCTCTGGAGGCTTTTCTCAGAGGAAAAGATGTTTTTGCTCTTCTCCCGACTGGTTTCAGCAAGAGTTTGATCTATCAATTGGCTCCGCTTCGTCGTCGCTCTGTTAGTACGTCATATGCTTCGTTGATCTGATTGGTTTATTTGGCCTGTCTATCACCAACATAGGCCAATCAGCTAACCGGTATTTTCGCCCCTTCCCAAAATTACTTCAACGGAAGGTTTCCAGATGGATATGTGGAGCAAATCCATCTGGCGGAGTCAGGTTAGGAAAACCCAGCTTCACAGCTGAAATGTTGAGGTGTTGCTTGAATATTTGCACACAATTTTCCACTGTATGGTCAGAAAAAATTTTGTTTCTCTTATTTCATATATTAACTTATCCTATTTACTCACTATAAAAGTTTTCACTCTGTCTTTTCACCTGTTTTGACTCTGACAACTTTCCATTATTGTAAGTAAGGAAGAAAAAATGCTGCCCAGGCAGAACGGGGCTGATTACCAAGCAATTAGGGCTGTATGATCAACTATTCTCTCTTTGCAAAGATATAAAAATAAAATGCCGACTGAGTGAAATCCATCGATCTCTGATTAATTAATTGGTGTGCATAGTTAAATTATTTTTTTCCACCACAGTTGTCATTAGACTGTCTGGTATTTGAAGTGCACCAGTCCCTCTTGCAGCAAACAACCAGCATCATGACTCTGACATCCCTGTAATTCACAGCTGGGATGACTTTTCTCAGCCTGAGGTTTAAGAAGCAATGTCCACCCAAAAATACAAAGCTGAAATAAATGAAGAATAGCTCCACAATTATCCGGTCTAAATGCAACCTTTTGGTACCACTGTAAACGTAAGAGATACAAAAAAGAGATTATGATATGATCTATGCATCTAATCAGATATAAAAAAAAAAACTTCTACTTTAAAATTGTTTATGACAGCACGCAGCCCACTAAAGGGTATTTCTGATAGAGTTAAATAACAAACTTTTAAAAATATGTATTTTGGTATAATCTGACACAAAAAAATATGTTATTTCATTCAGGGGGAGATAAAAATGTCCATTAAAACATCAAACTGGTGGGTGGTGCTTTCCTTCTCTGTGTTTTTTTTGAATAAAAGTGCGAAACAATCTTTATAAAATGTTCAAATTGAATGTTAGCAATATTTGTCAGTTCTTAGAAGATATATAAAAAGGTATTAACATCTCAACTATATGTAAATATAATATAAAATAAACAGGAGGAATCTAATAAAACACATTTGTTTATAAATGTACATATTAACAATTCAAAAATTACACATAGTAAAAGCTGCATTAGCATCAAGTTATATACTTTGCAGCATTTCTTTCTTGGCAGATTTCTTGGCTTTAAAAATGATAAAATCATAAGATCGTCCATGTCACAAGAGAGGCTCAGAGGAGTTTGGCTGGTTTTAAAATAATGGAATAATAATAATACATATTATAGGTAATAAAAACATGTTCAGGTCTTCAGAAAAGGAGGACCTGGAAGCTGCATTTCTCCATGCTAAACTCAAGCTAAGCTGTCCACAGTTGTCAAATAGTGTTGTGGTGTATTTACCTAAATCTGAAATATATATAAACAAAGGCGCTTGTTCTTTATTTTTCTTAGTTGTTAACGTAGTAGGATCCTGATCTAGATTTAATTTTTATAAGATGGTTATAGAGCAGACATTGTCTGAAATGCTGCTATAGGCTTCGGCTGCTGGAGGACATAGGGACCACTTTACAGTGTTTTGCTACTTCTCTCTCTATTCTCTAATTCTGCAGTATTTGTTAGTTTAACCCGTAACTTTATGTTCTATCTGCTTTTTTTGTCATAGTAGGTCCA